TCCATGCAGGAGACTCATGCTGAACATCTAGACTTGCAGTTGATTGGCTGTAGTCCATTTTGTCTTCCTTGCCAGAATCTCAGCATCATGGCAACCTTGCTCTCTTCATGTCACCGCCATGGCTGACAGGTCCTTAAAAATGACTATACCATGATGACAGCTCAGGAGTGAATATGTTTGCATTAGCAGATTTATCTTCCTTGGCATGCTGGCACTGACAGTTATGGCTAGGGATTCCCTTCCTTCTGCTTCCCTACCTCATCTCCCCTCTCCCTTGAAGGCAAGGCTGTTTACCAGCATCTCTGCTGCATATAGGAGAGATCTGTGACTGTAAGGGCCCTGAGTACATCTCTCCCATGTCCCTTCCCGCCACCCTGGGGGTTTGTCTGGATGAGCTCAGCAACAACTTTTCTAAGTAGCTATGAGGCCTTGAGAAGCCTCAGTGAATGCCTGCCCCTTATTCTTTCCCATGCTGCTTTAAAATTCACGCTCTTGTCCTTAGTGTCTGCCTGAACTATGTTGCAGCTATGCTTGTGCCTACCCTCTCTGAACCTTACCCACTGGTTTGACTTGTGGTTTGAGCTGTCCTGTCACTACAGGCTTGCCTGGTAACCTGGCCTGTTGCCTGAAATGTTGATGAACTTCGTCTGCTCTTCTTGCTCAGGTATTTTGGAATTTGATGACTCTCAGCTCCTAGCTTTACTTTCCATATGGAACAGTCTGTTCCTGCTGCTTCCTGACAGTCATACTGGTCAGATGGTAAAAAGCAGACACTGAGAAAAGAAATGAGTGATAGGAGGGCAGAAGGATAGGGAGATAAATATTCAAGCATTACAACATAGAAAGAAAAAATATGTTTTAAGGGAGGACATATGATATAGTGGTGAGATCCCTGCCTCTGTCCCTGCACTGAAAATGAGAAATAATGAAGAGAAGGTATAAAGACTATTTTGGTCAAACTAAAGAAGAGAATAAAATCACATGCCTGTACAGAAATGCTGGGCAATTAGGCTGTCAGGAGTGGCTGGGATTGGCCCAGTGCAACTTTAAGACAAGAAAGGGAAAAAAACAGAACTGTTTAGATAAGAGAAATGGAGGAACGAAGGAAAAGCTGTATAGACCTAATCACTGGCATTTGTGCAGCAGCATATAGAGGTGAAAATCCCTGTAGTGCTTTCCATACCACAACTGCTTTTTTTTGGTGGTAGCGAAGAAGAGCGTGGATATTGAAATGGTAGTTCTGTGGTATTCATGTAAAGCAGTGTTAAAAATTTGTAGTAGTTCTATGCGAATGTTATGGTCACATCTCTACAGTACTGACAGAGAAGTCTATGGGAACTGGACAGCAGCAGGAAAACCATGCATCACCTCTGAAAGAATGCCACTGCCATATACCTTTCTTTGCAACCTCAGATCGTCACAATGTTTATGTACAGCAAAGCACTTTGAACACACTCAAAATCCATGGCAAAACATGTAGCATCTTCATGAAACTGTTGCCATAACAGTTTGAAAGCTCCATTTGCGGCAGTGGCAGGAGTCTGGGGTGCATTTCAACAGCTAGTGTTTCTGCAACAAGCCCACTGGTTCTATGAGGGCTTTGGGGCCACCAGCTTTGCCCACAAGGAGGGGAAGAACTATGCAGCAGATGGAGCATCTATCTGAGCATTTCACCAGGAGGGTGCAGAGGGCAGAGTGCCGAGGCTGTGTGCAGCAGTGCTCCTGAGGCACCGTTCTTCAGAGCTGCAGTTGCTATGGAACTGCAAACTTATTCTGCAGTGTCTGAAAAGATAAGCAGCTCTGTAAGGACTCTGGAGCCACATTGCAGCAGTAAAAGCATAGAACTGTTCTGTAGATGTACTGTAACCATGGCACTGCAAACCTCTGCAGGGAGGTGTGAATCATATAACAGTTAAACGCTGGTGCTGAAACCCGCAGTATGACAAAGCATGCAGGTCTACAGATTATTTGTATCTGGATCATGGTAAAATTTGCCTGCAGCACCAGCTGTAGTATAGAAATCCTTGTCTGGGCTTTCCAACAGAAGCTTAAGTTCCAGCACTCCATTGGGATGACAAGTGTGTGGCTCTACAACCTCTCTTGAGCAGTGCATGCAGGATGCAATAGATAGCCTGACGACACACCCCTATTTTCTACCCTGTGCCTAGAGAAAGCACCTGTTTCATGCACTGAGACAGAGCGGTGGGCTGTCCTGTACCCACCCTCCTGCTCTTGGCCCGCTCAGCCAGGCTCTGAAGTGCAGCCCATACAGTAAGCCCGTTTCAGGGGAAGGCTGCTGCAGGCAAGCTGATTGCCAAGCAAACGGCCAATTTACTGCCAGTGCTAGTGATGTCTATCGGGAATTTTCTACTCTGCCCATTCTAAACTTGTAAATAGAACAATGACAGGGTGAGTCACTCATTTAGAAGTGCTGTGGTCAAATGAAAGAACCGGGAGATAAGGGTGTGAGTTACTCCAACTTCGCGTGAACTATGCATGTCTGGGTAACGTTAAAAAGATTGACGAGAGGGGCGCATCCTGCCCCAGAGGGTGCCAAAAGATGAATGATAGTCTGAGAATAACGAAGTCAGCAAAAATCGGCAGTAGCTGGTGAAAAGATAAAGATAGTGGGGGGAGACTGCGACCACTGACTCATTTAAGACCAAGAAGACTTGCTCCCCCTCACCCTTTGAGCTTGTGCAGAATTGTTAAAAGACGCTGTAAGTTTCAAACCAGAGGAGGCATGTTGTTAACCAGTGAGGGACAAAGTGGTAGGAAACTAACCAATGGTCACTACTGTAAATGTGCATTCGTGTAGTCGGAAGGATATAAATACACTGAAGTTCTCCGGCCCGGCGTGCTGGCCTCGGGGAATTGCCACGGCATCAATAAAAAACCCCACCCTGCGCTCTGCGCCTCTACCGGCGTGCTGCACACCGGGCCTGCGGCCCCGCCTGTGGGCAGCGCCAGAACGAACTTGTCGCTGTTAGTCTTTCCTTCCTCCCCGTCAGGACCAAGCTCCCCGGTTTCCCGCCGGCCGTGCCCGCCTCGGCTCTCCCGCCGGC